TGTCATAAAAGATACGTATTGTTCGCGCTCCTGTTATCAATTGGAGAAGTGATATTCGTATAACGCTGACTGAGCAAGAAAAAGGGGTTACGTACCTATCTACAGGGAAGAATTATGCCTCGGTTGCGGGTGGGTCTAAGGATGCTTCTGGTGCTGTGGTTGGCTAGACGCTGAACAGTCAGCATGCTTCAGTATATCGGAGGTATATGAGAACGAACAGTACAATTTCGATCTTGATGTCGGATGTAGGAATTTGTGTGGTTCAAACTCTCCAACCTTGGCTGGACATCACTTGTGCCCCTCATTTACTCCTACCGAGGAAAGATATTACCAGGAAGGTTACCGTCTTTCAGCATGTGCTAGGAAGAGGTATGTAAAAGGGGGCGTTTCCCTGATGATAATCATGGTTGGAGTTCACTTTATCAAGCTGTTAAAGCTGAAGTTTGAGATCTACAACTCGTCAAGATGGCTACATCATCTACTCTCCCAGAAGCCTATTCTTCCCTTCCTTTCAAGGAAATTTCTATTTCCCATGTCCCGGCTTCATCGCCCTCTGTGACTAAGGTTGTCATATTGGCGCTTAGTCGACCAGAGAAATATAATGCAGTTACCGGAACTATGCTCGAGGAGATGGAAACTGCATACGAGCTCTTCAATAAAGATGACAGAGTCCGAGCCATCGTCATGACCGGCGCAGGGAAAGCTTTCTGTGCTGGCGCTGATTTACAAATAGGATTTGGCGGCTTGATGAAGAGCAAGCAAGACGAGGCATCTATGAACTCATTCAGGGATAGGCAAGTATCATATTATCGTATTGCAATCCAGTGTCGGATGTTCTAACTCTAGAGAAACTAGCGGAGGACGAGTTGCCCTAGCCATAGCTGGGTGTATCAAACCGACAATTGTCGCCATCAACGGACCAGCAGCAGGTGTCGGCTTCACCTTGACTCTGCCAGCCGCGATCCGAGTAGCCTGGGCAGACGCCAAGGTTGGGATTCCCTTCTCACGACGGGGCTTGACGATGGAGTCATGCAGCGCATTCTATCTTCCACGGTTGATCGGTCTGTCCAAAGCCACCCACATCGCCATGACAGGAGCGACATACTCGGCGTCAGACCCCCTAGTCAGCGACCTCTACTCCAAGCTCTTGCCGACGCCTGAGAAGACCGTCGAATACGCAGTAGAACTTGCGGCCGACATCGCTGAAAATACGTCGTTGGTTAGCACGAAGCTCATGAGAGACATGATGGTCTACTGTCCCCCGACGCCCGAGGGGGCACATGTACTCGATTCGAGGGCATTCATTTCCGTAGTAGGATCGCCAGATAATGTAGAGGGGATAAAGAGCTTCATGGAGAAAAGAAAACCGCAGTTCAAGGGCGGAATAGACCAGGGAGATTTTCCATTTTGGCCTTGGTGGAACCAGTCAACTGAGAAGCTATCTAAGATCTGAAGAGCCAAAGTACACTATAGTGATACGATTCGTCTAGGTAGATACTTAATAACTGAATTCATGGAAGCGAGAAAGATAAATACACCAATAAGAAACTCATTGAATTTCCAAATCCACTTCATGCAAAAACTCTTCAAGTCCGAATGCCACTAGGGTCTTGTGTCGCCCACAGTGGTACCCGAATCGTGGCAACGCCGACTCTTTTCCAAACACCGGCCCTTTGAATCAGGAGTATGCCATAATAACATCTACATAGTTTGAATAATACATTTTCAAAATCTCTGCTGACATCGGCAGCCGTATACCATGTTTGCGCAGACTGTTGATCAGGAACCGAGTCCGCGTTCCGCGAGACAAAAAGGGCCTGAACGCGTTTCCAGACCCCTTTCAGCCACTGCATCCATCCATAGTTGCCCCAATTTCTCCTTGCTCACCCACGCTGTCAAAGTTTTCTTCGAATGGCAATAGAATGCATGCAATAAATAGCAATAAATAAAGAAGTAAAGTCCCAAGAGGTTAATAAGTTTAGGAAGTATTTGGCTGCCAAGACAGGCAAGGCTGGAACAGGTCTCCAGGCGCCTATAAACATTCTAAGTATGCATATATCAGCCCTTTTAAAAGCATATACTCAGTTTTACGTAGTTTATTGCAATCATACCTTAGAGTTATGAATAATGCTTAATGCGTACCTAATCTACCAAAGCAAACAGAATATTAGATGTTAAACTTCGTGTTGTAACAATATGAGGAGGAATGAATCGAAAAGTTAGAACCGAGAGAACGAATATCAACGATAGGCTGCAGGCCTCGAAGCACCATGTCGTCCTCTCTATTTAGTCTGATGACAGACAAAGTAACCGAAAAAGTTGGATATACAGTAAAACGTCAATCTTAAATTTTCACACATACCTCTCATATAGGTACCTACATTAGGTAGCCGCAGTTATATGTTAATACGTAAAAACATGAATAGGAACTACACGTCCCTATGCTGCCTACTAAGGTATATTAGCAAGTAATACGTCATAGGACCAACGTAATGAACTTGTTAACCAGATCCTAAAAAGACAATGTTGTAGATCCAACTAGACACAGCATTGGGTGTATGTGACTCAGTCTTCGGTCCCTCTGGTTTTTGACTACTACATGCGTCAAGCTCTAAGTTTTCTACTTGCTACCATTCTAAAATTCCGTGTATTATATTTAAATCCTATGGATATATTCTACACTTCTTCTAAAGTAGCGGAAAATTATCTGAAAGAGAAAATTCCAATTTTACGAACATAACACGATACATCTATTAGAATAAACTAACTTGCCATACGGTGAAGGTAAGATAATGTCGACATTCTCTCTCGGGGTCTGACTAATCTGTGTCTGTAGATGTGTTATAACATTTTGGCCTCATACGCCTGTAGCCTGACCCACGAAGAAAGGGGCGAGAATCGACTTCGTTTTAAGGGTATATGCAAATGTGACGAAGCGATCGAGAATGATACCATCTGTGCGGTTCGCATTAATGTGAATAGGTTAACGGACAACGAAAATTGGCATGCTTGCCCGGTGTGTAGAGGAGCGTCACCACCCCCGACCCCATAGAGGGAAATTGGTGTTCGCTACTAGGCGTTGGCGTACAACTCGTTGTGAGGACTAGTTACCAGTGTCGTCAAAGCCATCCCTCATGAGGATACAAGGCCTCGACTTTACTAATATTATACAATTTTGTGATGGTATAATAGCATAGCGACAAATAAAACGGAAATGATCCGTCCCTATTAATAGAGAGGAGGAAGGCTAGTAGTTTCCCAGCAATCTCTGCTTACCGCCATGCGTTGTCTCTTCACATGATTTGATCGAATAAACGGATACTACATATATCTAATATTAGTAGCAGAAATTCTCCTTTATTAGTTTAGATAGGTCTAAAAAGGCGGGATGCTCACCAACAGACCCCATTTATTTGTACACTGTATATCACACCAACAGAAATAAGCAGCTGCGGGAGAACAAAACAACAAAATACCACGATCTAGGTAAAACCAATCACCTTCGCCTAAACTACTATTTTTTTCTTCTCCTACTACGTTCCTATTACAGACCGTCTAAAGCAACTCCCACGGCACGCGGGAGCGCCACAGTTCCTTGAAGATAGTTGAGATAGGTATCTCCCTAGCATACGTAGGAACAACACAAAAGCACGATGGCTGCAACCATTCTAATAACCGGGGCTTCCGGGTTGATCGGCTTCCGCATTCTTCTTGCCGCCCTCGCCGCTGGCTACAACGTACGATACACGGTACGATCGGAGGAGAAAGCCCAGGTGGTTTCTTCGAACCCAGCGGTGCGGAAGCTAGCACCCGGCGATCGCCTCTCTCCCATTATCATCCCGGACTTCAGCGCTGACGGCGCTTTCGACTCCGCCCTAGAAGGGGTTACCCATGTCATCCATGCCGGGTCGCCAGTCCCGTTCCCGACCTACGACCCTACTACGGAGGTATTCCAACCTACAGTGAAGATTACGTCGGGCCTGCTCTCTTCCGCACTTAAGGCACCTAGCGTGCAGCGTGTTATCATCACGTCATCGATCGTGGCAAATCTTGGTCTTATACCGCCTTCTTCTCCCGTGACAGCTTCGACCCGTGCCTCATTACCTAACCCTGTCCCATCTTCCTTTAAGGATGTGTTCGAGGGGTATGTAACGGGCAAGATAGTCGAGTTGCACAATACAGACGAATTTGTCAAGACACGCAACCCCCATTTCACCGTCTCCCACGTAATTCCCGGATACGTCTTCGGCCGCAACGAGCTTGCGCTCGACGCCGCCACGATGCAAACTCAGAATAGTTCGAATAACTTTCTCATGATGGGGATGCTCGGCGGAGAATTGCCGTCCCCCATCCACGGTGGCTTCGTGCATATCGACGATTTAGCAGACCTCCATCTGCGCATTCTCTTTCTCGAGCCTAAGGCGGGGGAGATTGAAGATTTTGGTGTTGCGACGAAGGTGGACTATGGGACGATTTTCGACTACGTTGAAAAGGCATTCCCTGAAGCTGTTAAAGCTGGGGTCTTCAAAAGGGGTAAGGTGCCCACATTGCCCGTCGACTACAAATCGAGCGATGTAGAGAGGCTGTTAGGTAGGAAGTTGAAACCCTTTGAAAGCGCGGTGGTGGATGTCGTGGGCCAGTACCTTGAGAGGCTGAGAAAGGAGAAAGCTTAAGACGCGGGATGCGAAGGCGGTAGTCCATCGGGCAATTCTATCGAGCTACTGTCATGAGGGAAGGGATACATTTTGAAGGCGAGATAGATTGGAAGCACCGTCGAGTCTTGTGGACGAGAATGAATCTTAGTAACGCACCCCCTATAAGTCTCTAACTTCGTGTATCTGAGAAGTGTCTTAGGTTAGGTGGCAAGTAGGTACTTTGTACGACGTATATAAACCCAGATAATATAAATAAAAATTCTAAAAATTCTAGTTACGTCTATCCTCAGCCAAATGAGGGATCATATCGACCATCTCAAGTAAATATTGCCAAAGGACTAAAAAAGGTCCGCCTGGGGGTCGAACCCAGAATCTCCTGATTGTCTACCAGCTGTCGTAGTCAGACGCCTTACCATTGGGCCAACGGACCTGGTGGATTTCCCTTTGAAAGTTTGCGGTTATAGTCCAATGATTATGTGGAGACGAGACAAAGCTTGCGGCCTATAATCTTGCTCCACTTAGGAATAATTCCATGTAGATTTTCTATCTGTTGACAGAATAGGAACAACCTATTTTGATATGGCAATATTATTTGTATATCTAGCTGTTGGTCCTAGGGAGTTTCTCCCTGGTGAAGTTGCTGCCGTAGTTGATTTCATAAATGAACCAAGTCACTACTGGGTTCAGCGAGTCATATCCAGGCAAACGGTGCATCTTGTCTTTTAGAGAGCCGTCTGTGGGAAACTAAAGAAATACCTTCAGAAACTAGAACAGAACATTTGGCTTAATAGATTTCGGGCCCTTGGTCCGGGGTACCCTCGAGTTCGGTCACTTTGGCCAACGTGGCCCTGACTATAACGCGACGTGATTTACCCATTATTTAAAGATACTTGGGCATTTAGAGCTTAGAGGCGTGTATTGGACTAACTCATACATTCCTATATGAAACACGCCAACACTACGCTCGGTGATACGTCTCACAGTCGTAGCTAATTAGTGGTTTCGGGCTCATTGCGCAGGGACACCTTGATTATTTGCGCGGTGTCGGCTCCTCCACTTGCTTCATCATGGCAACCATTCGGGGTGAACTGTGTTAGGTCATTACCACTCTTGTCTTTTATAACCCTCCCGACTCACTAAAATATGAACCCACTAGACTATCAGCTGACTGAAGCTGAAGAGCATATTCGATCAAGATATGTCATATAAATAGGCATACAGCTTCAAGTAATCTAGTGGTTTATACTCGGGAGCGTGTGTATGCATACCTCCATGATGAATTCCCACCTAGGTTAGGGAGATATGTGAGGAAGTCAGGTTAGAGCAGGGTTGATTAAGGGGGTTCACGTGATACCCATACGGCTTATCACCATTGTGATTAACGTTTTAGTTCTCATACTACAAAATGGGAACTATCGGTTAGACCTATAGCTTGAATATTGAGATTTCTTTTTATACTTCCTCAGTTGCGTATGGGTAAACACATGGGTTGAACAATGCCCAGGAGGATATTGGTACGAGCGATGATGCTACACCTTCTAATTCTCCGAATCGAATCTACGCTATTTTATATATAATCTCATGAGTAACATTGCCCATCTAGATCGTAAGCTTATCGATCGTCTGTCCCTTGAAACCTTCCAGACCCTCACCACCCTGGATATCGAAGTTAGAGATGTTGAGAGATTTCGGAACACGTGGAAACTTACATAGCTCGTGAGTGGGGAGACTTCAAGGCCTCCATCGACGTCTCCGTTTTTGACAGTTGCGCCAACAGCCTCTACCCATCGTCGGCCCTGCTCCTTGATGTGTCTGCGGCTAGTTGTTGGGCTGTCCTCGGGTTGCTTCTCAAACGTCCCGTCAGCGTTTTGGGCCGGGTCTGCGTTCTTCAATGGAGAGAACTCCTCTTCACGCTTGACCTCGAAGCAGGCAAACTCGTTTAGGTTGAGCCACTTGAAGTTGTCGAAGACGAATTGCTCGAGCTTGATACCGTTAGGCGACTTGGGTTCGACGACCTCGCCCTTCTCAATGTCGAAGAACGGGATCTTCTTTCGGGCAACGTGTGGTGGCAGGCTGTTGACAGAATCTCCCATGCTGTCTAGGTACTCGAATGAGTAGTAGTGGTTGACGATGTTGGCAGCGCGGAACTTGAGAAGCCCGGGCTGTTTGGGGTCCGTTGCTTGACGGGTGGCATCATCGATTTCAGAGTACTCCACTACGTCGGGTTTGCCGTTCTTCTGGATAATGAGACCGACCGACTCCTTGGCATCACGCTTTCTTACGACCTTGGTAGCAATCTGAACTTTCTTCTCGGCCGCAAAACCAATGAACACTGGGTCAGCAACCTTAGCTAGGCAGTTGTCGACGCAGTATGCGTGGATATGCTTGATGTTAGGGCGCATTTTGTCAAGGACACCTTCATCCTGGAGTGCCTTGTATAAACCACCATTGCCATCGGGGGCCACCGCGAGCTTCCCCTTGCTCGCGAGCATAAACTTGCCGTCGTTCGTGATACAGGGAAGCACACCCTGTTCGAAGATCGTGACGTTCTTTGGATCAAGGCCAAAATAGGGTTGACCCTTAGCCCGGTTAGCGTTCTCCTCGTCGCTTAGCTCGTCGAGCTTCTCCTTCTTAAAGAATTTCTCGGTAGGTCCACGAGTAGGCCCACTGGTCATAATAAACCAGGGAATAATTGCCTTGCTGGGGTCCGCGGCCCGCTCCGCAGCCAGTTTTTGAATTTTCAAGATTCGTTCGGCTTGGATTTGGAAGAGTGACTTGTGGGAAGGAAGCTTGATATCGAAGCATCCCTTCGGAGCCTTGCTTCCCAATCGAGTGCCTTGACCACCGGCCAACAAAACTACCGCAACTTCACCCTTACCAATTAGCTCCAGGCCTAGATTGTACCATCTTTCAATGTCTTCGGGCTTCGAATCGATAATGCTAGCATTTGCGGAGTCAGGAAGGGGTTCAACAACGGCTTGTCCCTCTTCTTTCGGTGGGTTTAGGGCAAGGTCTCGTAGTTTTTGGACTCTGGCAGGGTCGACCTTCTGGAGCTGCTCGAAGAAGGCCTTTTGCTCGGATTCGCCGAGGGAATCGAAGTAGGTGAATACGTGTCCCTGGCCGGCTTTCTCGTATTGGGCTTTGAGGTTTTGTACCTCAGCAGGCGTGAATTCTGGCATGGTGATCTTTGTTGAATTATATCTAGATGAGAACTGGTAGAAAGTAGAAGGGGAAACACAGGTCTGTCTACAAGCACAAATACCTTTGTGTAGTTCCTCTTGTGAGGAAATGGATTACGAAGTTGGGAAGACGGAGACACCGACACAGGGGACGGGAGCTAGAAATACAACGACCAGTAACTTACGAGGCAGCTGCGAGGGGCTACGAATAAAGCTGGAGGGGCTGAGGGGCACGGACAAGGGATCCTAGAGCTCGGTCGTAGTGGGGTTGGAGAAGTAGCCTTTTAGGTGCATTTAGTAACTTCAGCTATACATAAGGTTGTTAGTGACACCAATGATGTAGATTGGTTCCGTGGGCATTTTGATTGCCCAGAATCGAATATATCCTGTTTCCCCCCGATCTCTCATAGCGTTTCATTACGTGGTTGGACGCTGAAGTTTGCACCTCACCGCTTCGACAAGCCATGCGGCGCCGCAGCCACTTCCTATTCGCTATCCCGCTTAAGTCAGATTTCGTATAATCCAACATCTGCATAGTTTTGTTGAAGGGCGTATTGGCCGGGCTGACGACGTGCAATATGGATGATATTGCTTCGAAGTTGCACTTGAATTTTTCCCGGGGAAAAACTCATCTTAATACGTAATCGAGAAGTGGTAGATTCATTTGAAGATGTCCTGGTACCTGGCGTTCCATACCCGATCTGCAGGTTTGCCCCAGCCCTAGCAGCTCTGGATCGCGTCACTGTCGGCTCCTATGAATATCCCTGACACTTCCTGCGATGTAAGATGTAACAGTTGATACGAGAATTTTAATAGAAATCTCGCGAATTGACACTAACACGAAAACTTCGACTGCTTCATTTACACGGGGTTCAACATCATTTTTTGGGCTCTTGAGAATACGAGTAGATCTGCAGGTACTTCAAAGAAACAGGGAAATACCCGTTAATTAGTTGGTAACTTACATAAGTAATCCAGTATGCGGGTAATTCCACTAGACCCTAGTATTCATGTGCATCGGTGACCCACCCATCTATAGTGGCGACTACCATAGTAGACATGAAGAAACGACGACACGCATTCGCCAGGCTAAGCAGCTTCAGGAGCGACTTGAAATGCAGTATTAATTTCTCTTTCCTTCATTTGTCTTGGCATTTTTATTAGATTGCTCTGTTCATAGATTGATTTTCTGAATCTAAGTCAATACGAAACTCTTCAAAAAGCCGAGTAATCCATCCACTCATTCAGGGGATTTCTCGTTCATCGAGTATATGTGGCAACCGTCATGATGGGATCGGATGGGCATAGTCGAGACGCATCTGCAGAGCCAGATAACCCGCTGAAAGCATCAAGTTTTGAAGGGCGTCTTCAATTGAAGAATTTCATGTTCACTGAATCTACTTCCAGCCCATCATCCTCAGAACCGCGGCGAAGTCAGAGGCTGTCGACGCCGGTGATATCACAGTCACCGTCTAAGCCACCATCTAAATCCAAGAAGCGCAAAGCACAACTGGAAGCCCCAGACGAAGAAAATAGCAGCAGCAGCCAGCGCGGCACACCCTCAGGTTCAGGCACGCCGTCACCCAAAAAGCGCTCCCGGAAATCATCCTCCTACGCCCCTCCCTCAACCTACGCGCACCTGCCTTACCTCCCGGATGCAATAGCGCCCAACTTACTGATCCTAACCATTGGTCTAAACCCCGGTATACAGACAGCGCGGTCAGGGCATGCCTACGCGCACCCGTCGAACCTGTACTGGAAGCTGCTCTACTCGTCCGGCATCACGCCCGTGCTCTGTAAGCCTCAAGAGGACCAGGAGATGCCGCGGCGCTACGCCCTGGGTCACACCAACATCGTAGCCCGGCCATCTCGCAACGGCGCCGAGCTCAGCAAGGCAGAGATGGACGAGGGCGTCAGCATCTTGGAGGAGAAGTGCCGCAAGTGGCGGCCCGAAGTCGCGTGCGTGGTCGGGAAGAGCATCTGGGAGAGCGTGTTCCGCGTGCGGCACGGGCGCTCTTTGGCAAAGGGGGAGTTCCAGTACGGGTGGCAGGAGGAGAGGATGGGTGTTGTGGAGGGAGGGGATGGGGAGGAGCCTTGGGAGGGCTCGAGGGTATTCGTGGCTACGAGTACGAGTGGACTCGCGGCTTCGCTGAGGCCCGAGGAGAAGGAGAGGATATGGAAGATATTGGGGGATTGGTGCGTGAAGAGGCGAAAGGAGAGGGAGGAGGAGGCTGCCACGGCTAAGAGCGCT